TTTCCCTACCTCAATTCTAGGGTTTTTCCTTCCTTTTTTTTTTTTTTTTTAAAAATTTTTTTATTTAAACCCCTTTTCTTTTCCACTTTTAATTCCTTAGGTTTAGTCCCTTCCCACTCTGCTTTTCGATCTCTTCTCTCTCTCTCTCTCTCTCTCTACTTCCTCTGATTCCCAGTATATTTCTTCTAAATCTTCACTGCTTCTCTCTCTCTCTTAGTTTTTTCTTCCTACACCACACGCACGCACAACCCTTCTTTCTGCCTTTCTCTTATGATGTCCTAGAACCCTATCCTATCCTCGCCAATCCGAATTCATCGTTATTTGCGTATTCATTGTGTGATTGATTTTCCCCTGTGGGTGCGTGTGGTGGAGAATAGTGGTCGTTGTGAATGGCATACCAAGCGATCCAGGGTCCGAGTTCGGGATCGAGTTCGAGTTCGGGGTTTCAGTTATTGAATTCTCAGTTCGGAGACACGACTTACACGAAGGTCTTCGTCGGAGGATTGGCCTGGGAGACTCAGAGCGAGACCATGCGCCGGTACTTCGAGCAGTTCGGCGAGATTCTGGAGGCCGTCGTCATCACCGATAAGAACACCGGCCGATCCAAGGGCTATGGTTTCGTGAGTATCTTTTTTATTCCATTGTTACCCGCTGGCGCTGCCACTACACAACACGCCAACTTGTTGTCATTCAAAATGAAAACTTTTGTTGGTTTGTGTGATTGGGATTGCGTTACTTTTACTATAGAATGACTTGGTTTCCATCTCACCTGCATGGAATTGGAGGGTATAGGTGACTTTCCGGGATCCCGAGGCTGCAAGGAGAGCGTGTGCTGATCCAACACCCGTTATTGATGGAAGAAGGGCCAATTGTAACTTGGCTTCACTTGGTCGACCACGGCCTCTGCCTTATGGTATTCTACCTAATTCATCTTCCTACTCCACGATCAAATTTAACAATGCAATGCTACTTTTGTTGTTATGCAAATCTGCGCTCTAAAATTTAATTGTCATGTCGGGTATTTACATTGACCACTGGCTCTTGTCACTGACGTCATCATCATTGTCGTTTGCTGTTGTTGGTATTATTTAATTGTCATCGGAATCCCACATTGGCGTGCCTCTGTTATTGAGATAAAGTCACTGGCAGTGATAGAAAGAGGTCGAGTGCTTGTGCCCCTGAGTGTTTAGTACTTTCATTATTGCCCTAAAGTCATCTTCTGACTCTTATGGACCACCTTTTTTTGAAGAAAAAAAAAATTGTTAATCTTGATGCTGTCTGCTTGGTCTAGTAACATCTTGGCTTGCTATTTATGATTTATCTTTAATAATCATTGTGTTTGTTTAGCTTCAACAACTGTGTTAAGCCCAAACAATGTTAGTCTGCAACTAGCATAAGCATTCTACCTTACTCTTTCTACTCAGACTGCTTTTTTGTGCTTGCTTCTTTTTTCTTTTATAGGACGGATAAGACCTGCCTCCCCTTATGTCGGGAGTTTGCAACCACCCCGTGGTGCTTATGTTGGAGGTTTTGGCTACCAGCAACCGCTTTCCTACAACTATCAACAAGGATTGGTTTACCCTCCTTATGGGTAAGTGGGATCTTGTTGTTGCAAACATTTGATTTGAAGATTTGTTTTTACTGCTAAAATAATATTATCTTTCTTCTTCGTTATATCTTTTATACCTACGTGCATCTTTGCTGTATCTTTACTCATTATCAACTCATATGTCATTATTGTTGAATGTTAAACGATGGGGAAGGCCACTAAGGTCAATAATGTGCACATCCTTGCAAGGACCACCGACCAATCCCTTTTCCCCCTTTCTTTTTATGGTATCTACACCTACTTATCACAACACACAGCATCTCTGCTGTAGTGTTTAATTAGGAAAAGGAGAATCCTGAGAGATTTGGTTTTTTTCTTGTTTTGTTGTATGTAAGAAACCTATATCAATTAGATGTAATAAACTAGTAATTGTTTGTTGTATTTATCTTCATGCGTGTGAGGTGTTCCTAACTACATTTGAATTGTGCATCAGGATGTATTACACCAGAATCATGCTATAGAGGTGATCTTTTCAACATTATATGTGGTTGTTTTTATCTTTGCAGGTATACGACATATGGACCTGAGTACGTCTACCCACAGGTCAAATTAGTTTTCTTGATTGTTTTTGGAAGAATGTTAGTGTTGTTTGTGCACTGCTGACTTTTTCAACTCCTTCGATCTTGTCTAATAGAGTCTGTACAACCCATATATGGGGCAACAGTACCTTCAGATATATGGAGTGCCTGGGGCAGTGAATACAACTATTTATCCTTATGGACAATTGGGTCAGGCTATCCCTAGTGGTCATGGTTATTCCGCAATGCAGGGTTATACAGTACCAGGTCATCAGATTGTACCCTATGGTGGATCCAATGTTAATGCCATAACAACTTCACCCATGCCTGCGATTCAAGCTTCATATCCTAGTGGTACAGTTGTCTGCCCTGAAGATTTTCTATTTATGACTCGGGATCTGCCCGTTTGTTGCCTTTTGAACGTGTGTTTTACTTGTACTTGTCACATTTCTGAATTTAATTCATGCTGCCTAATTTTTTTTTGTGATTGAAGGAGTGCAGAAATTCATATCTGATCTATGATTTTGCATATCAGCATGCATATTTGATGGGTATTCAGTGCTCATATATATAGGAACTAACATTAAGCGGAAATTTCTTAAGCATGAGACCATTTAATTTTTAATTGGTATTCATATGCCAATAATGAATTGAAGTTTCAGCTGTTGATGTATTGTCCTGCACATATTTATGCAATTTTAGTTATTCTACCCAGTTTTAGGCAGTAGGAATTTGGAGCGCTGAGACAATGCAATAGTTTATAGGTAAATTAAGAGTTCTGATGGGTATTATTTATATGTTAAAATGTAGAATGAGGCACTGAAGCATCCATGCTTAATCCCTTGATTATTAATGGGGTTTGAGAGAAAGACTTCTTTAGGTTCTATGTGAAAGGATGTGATGGGATTTGATAGTGTTGACTTTTTCAGGAATTGCTGCACCAGTTCCTGGCCAACCACAATTTATTGTTCCTGCTCCTTCTTCCCAGTTTATGCAAGGTAGTGGTCCTGACCAAACAGCTGGGTGAGGGGGCGAATAAGGTGGGTTATTTTTCCTTGCATCTTGCTGTGCTGGTCTTTTTTGCCTACATGAACTTATGTTTTGAAAGTACTATGGTCCACCAGGTATCCTTAGTTTGCAGCAGGACTAAGAGCAGCGGAACTGCTACTTGAGTGGCGGGCTTCCAATCTAGCCTTGCAAGTTAATTATTTTGCATTCTAGAGGTATCATTGCTTTGTTTTATGTTGCCTTAATGATAATGGATGAAATGAGTTAAACTTTACATGACATTTCAAAACTCTTTCTGGTTAGCAAGCCAAGAATATCAAATACATATTTTTTTAAAAATTATTATGGAATATGGATCTTTGAAATTACTATGGTTAATTTTAAGTTGTAACTTGTAAGCCTATTTAGTTGAACGAACACAATTGAGCTCAAAAAGCTAGCTCACAGTCCCAACTCTGGCTGAGCATCTGCTTGAAAATTTGCCTCATATCAATGAGTGAGCCATGACCTGAGTTAAAAATGGACGAGCCGAACTCAAATTCTTCTTGTCTCATTTCCTGCTGTACGACCTGGTAAAATTAGCCCCAGTTATAATTTTCGGAAAAACAAGAAATTTAGTGGTCGCAAGATTTCTCAAAGTTGATTTTACCTTCTGTTAAATTTCATGTCGGCATTATCTTCCCGTGTTTATTGATGTCCAATTCACACATTTGTTGTCTGCTATATTTTATTTTGGCATTCTATTGGGTCCTGTTTGCACACACGGTATAAAGGTTTTATATTTGCTCTTCCAAAGTGTATAGTGTATGCAATCCGTTTTCCTAAATGGATTGTTGTGTTGTTGGTCTGAAGTTGAAAACGTTGGCACCGCCAACTATAATATATTTCAGTTGATGTGTATCTCTTAACAAATTTTATGATGTGCAGGTCATATATAGTCATGCTCACCAAGTTGTGTCTGAGTCGCTCCAGATGGCGAAGGAAACTGGAATGTGCGGGCTGGTTTTCCATTTGGACATTTACACTAGTGTATTTATACCTAGTACTACCTGTACTCAGGGAGAGTGGCGGTAGTATTGGATCAATGGGTGCTGGAATAGGTTTCTTGCAGCCATGTAGGAATAAACTTCTGTAAAAAAGAAAATCACGTTTGAATCAAAATATGATTCTTTGTAGTCTTGTCCAGCATTGAGTTTGTAGATAGTTGTCAATGTTGGTGAATTGTGTGTCGATGGATGGTCCATCACATTGAATGTGATTTGTGCATAGTAGTTGTCAGGGGTTCTACCAGAAGACCACGGGGTGTAATTTTATGATTTTAAGAACCTGCCGATCATGCAGGGTAGAACCATCAGTATATTCCATTAGAGAGGATTGCAGTGGTTCTTTAGTGTTATATTACCGTCATTCATCACGGAGTCACATCACATGTTCAACATTTTCTTGAATTAATTTTCAACATTTTCGTCAAGGTGCCATCTATAATTGATATTATTCCAAGTATTTTTCTGATTGGTCCTTACTAAAGAATTATAGTAATTTAGCATCTAGAATTTGAATCTGATTCCGAGTTGGAGCCGTATCAAAAACATTTAGAGTTAGTTTCCTCGCGAACCTTCCTGATTCTCATTCTCGCTCTCTTGTGTATCTGGATTCATCTTTTAGAATATTGATAATGAGTTGGATATTTAAAATGCTTGCCAACTCTTTTGCTATATTTAATATCGTTTCAAATAATATCACTCTTATTCCCTACAATACACTGGGAATATTTTTTAATGTTCGAATATAACTAGATGAAATTGTGTTCAATTAAGGAATTCCATATTAAATTTTATTATAAACTAGTTCATATATAATTTAGTTTAATTCAAACTGAGTTTTAATCAAAATCAACTTCATACAATTACAATTTCTGAAACTGGATTTTTATCACTTCAATTATTGCGATAATGATGATGATTTTTTTTATAAAAAAATTTCATTTACTCTTACATGCTCTAAACAAAGGTAAAGTAATAATATAGCATCTCACAAGTGGTAATGACATGTGTTTTTTTAATGAAGTTGTTCAAGGTTTGAATTATAATTTTAAGTATGAAATAAATTTATGTTAGGAGGAGAATACCTATCATATGTACATTTGCAATTCTCGAAAAAGACTAATTACTATTTTTGGTGATGTATACTTTATATCAATATCATTGATTAAAAAAAAATAAAAATAGAGTGTTTCTTTATATTATGATAAGTTAGAAATATATTTAATTGGAAGATATTTTTTAGTTGAGAAAAATGAAAATTAACCATTGAATTTTATTATGCATGGTCAAAATTAAAACAAACAAATCATGTTAATTTTTCAAAAGTCATGAGACTTTTAAATGGTCTTATGATATTAAATATTGAATATTATATATGATTGTATGACTTAAACACAATCATTTTACTTTCATATAAGATTAATTTCCTTAATGTGGCCTCATACTAAAATATGTATTGTGAGAACAAAATCTACAGCAAGAATATATATATAGTTTTGAGTAATTTTTTTTATATTTATTTTTGAAATATATGTATACACACAGATCCCTACATGTGCAACTAAAATTATTAAAAAAATACCAATAATATGATTATTTTTCTAAATATTACGAGTAATGAGTTTTTTTTATAAACTTATTTAATGATAAAAAAAATTAAATTAAACGAGATGAGTTATTGTTTTTAAAATTCACAAATATTGTTAGCTGTCTCTTCATTTTTATTTTTTTTCTTCTAAAATGATCCATAAAATAATTTTATTATTAAATGATTCATTTGTTAGTTTCTTTTATTTATTTAATCTGTTCAAATATCACAAAATTTTCATTTAGAACCCATTTTAAAAATATTAAATAAAAATTTCATAATATATAAAGAATCTAGTATCCATATATACATTAAAAAAGAATATAAAGAGTGAACAAATATGTTATATTTACTAGAGAGGTCGAGGTATTACTATTTTTAATAGTCATACAGACGAGATATTAGATGATTATAAATAATTATTAAAAAATAGTATTAGAATTTTTTTTCACATTCAAGGGACATAATGGTCTATTGAAAATTAAGATTTAAAAACGATTACAAATTTTTATATCTATTTCATAATAAATTAGTAAGAAGGAAACACTTTTTATCTTTATATTTTAATTTAATAAAAATGTTTAAAAATTATCGATGTTTATAGATTAATTGATTTTCAAATTTAAAAATTTTGAGTTTAAATTTTATTTTTATAAAAATAATTAATTTTTAATATTATTTTTTTTAATTACAAATTTTAAGAATAAAATTGTTTAAAAATGTGTATATAATAGAATGATTCTTTTTATTATATATTATAGATATTATATATATAGATTATTCACCAAATGTTTATTATTCAAAAGAAAGAAAGAAAAAAAAAAGTTGACTGTTTATTTATCCGTGAAGATCCGTTTAGTTGTGATTGGGTTAGTTCAAAATCATACATACATACAAAGTGCTAAATTGATGGCCACCGAAGCTTCCCCTTCCTCTGCCGAAACGCCTCCGCTTCCTCCCAAGCCACCGCCGCCGCCGGCACCACCGGCTGCGTCTGCTGCGAAGCCGGAGGCGCCATTGTCCGATTCAAAAGCATCCGCGGACGCGAACGTAATCGTGGTCCCGAGCTACTCTCGATGGTTCTCATGGGATTCGATTCACGAATGCGAGGTGCGTCTTCTCCCGGAGTTCTTCGAATCGGCGTCGAAAACCCCTAGGGTTTACAAGTACTACAGGAATTCCATCGTTAAGTACTTCAGATACAATCCCACCCGAAAAATCACCTTCACCGATGTCCGCAAAACGCTCGTCGGAGACGTCGGTTCCATCCGCAGAGTCTTCGATTTCCTCGAAACTTGGGGTTTGATCAATTACCACCCCTCTTCCTCGCTCGCCAAACCCTTGAAGTGGGACGACAGAGAGACCAAGCCCGATTCTGCTTCCAACTCCACCGAATCTTCTTCTGCTCCTGCCAAAGAAACCTCCAAGAGACTCTGCAGTGGCTGCAAAGCTGTCTGCACCATTGCTTGTTTCGCTTGTGACAAGGTCACCTTTTCTCTTTCCTTTTTTGTTTCCACAAAACTTATATTAAGTTCAACACATTTGGTGTTATTAGCTAATTAGAATTGGAGTTTTAATTTTCTAATTCACATATGAGCTTGTTTGGGAAATTTGTCCAAAAGTACTTGCATGAGAAATAATATGAGCATATTTAGGTAAACTTCTCCAAGTACCCATAGGTGAAAAGAATAAGAATTAAGAAAGAAAAATGAAATATGCTTCTCCAAACTAAAATTAGCTTATGCATGAGAATTTAATAGGAAAGAGCCTTTGCAAATTTGTTTATGTTTAACCTAATTTTAACTTATGAAGAAGTTTATTTCAATTTTTTTTCCTAAAAGTTTTTAGATAGAAGGTTAAGTAGAAACTTCAATTCTTATTAGAAAATAAGACCAAAAATATAATAAATTATTGTATGGTCCCATATTACCATGTATTCATGGTCTTGACTAGTTTCTACCTGACATGCAGTCAAAACTGTGTCTCGGGAAGATGACCATGGTGATCCTGAACCATATAATAATTTCTCCAAATATACCTAAACAACAATATTTAAGTTTTGTCCAGCATTTGATAGAGGGAGTTTGATCTTTGTGCAGTATGATTTGACTCTTTGTGCGAGGTGTTACGTTCGCGGCAATTATAGAGTCGGTGTGAATTCATCGGATTTTAGGCGAGTGGAGATAAGCGAGGAGACAAAGACGGATTGGTCTGAAAAGGAGATCACGAATCTTCTGGAAGCTATTACGCATTTTGGTGATGACTGGAAGAAGGTTTCTCAGCATGTTGCTGGCAGAACTGAGAAGGAGTGTGTTGCTCATTTTTTGAAGCTTCCCTTTGCGGATCAATTCCTGCATTATCAACAACACCCTGCCGGCAATGGCACTGATGATGGTTGTAATCAGTTAAAGAGGGTAACTAATGCTGATGCTGAATCTGAATTGGATAGCGTTGCCTCT